ATTCTATGCTCGTACAACCTTTCGTGATGAGACGTTTCTTTTGTAAAGAACAAAACCTTATATGAAAGAATATGTCCTTTATCAATAGGCATAACTTTATATGAAAATATGTGACTATTTGAATAGCCACAAATAGTCTTTATATATGTGATTCATTGTTTGTTTTGGAAATAGAAAAATGTTCCTTCAAAATCCTCTTTCTATTTTCTTTGTATGGTTACTTAAGTACTCATGTTGGTTGAGTTATGCAATTGGAGTACTACACTCACAGGTTAGTAATTTGTCCTATCTTGAGGGATAATTGTTCGTGATACCTTGAGCACCGTAGAAGGAATAAAATTGTCTTAAGGAAACAATGCTAATATTGTGTTCGGATTGTTAATTTTGTGTTTCTTTAATTTCTTTGCATATTGCTCTAACATTACATACCTTATATGAAGTATATCATGGTATATGTACCTTTAGATATATTTCATATAAGGTATATCAATTAACTAATTATGCTTTATGTACTACATACTTATATTAGTTATAATTGAATTATCAAGGATAAATAAATCAATTATAATTGATATACAATGCATCAGGTATATCAATTATAGAAATTAAAAAAACAAAGTATATCAATTACCACTATTATATCTTCATAGTTTTCATACAGGTTTATCAGTTATTGATGTACTTCATATTGGTTTCTCATAGAATGTCCAATAAAACAAGTATAAGTGATGTACTATATACTAAATATATCAATAAATAACTGCTTTACTGTCTAAATGAGATATACAGTTATAACTGATATACTTTGATGTATTGCATACTATGCATATCAGATATAATTGATATACATATTTAAGTAGTATATCAAAGTATATTAGTTATAATCGATATACATTATATGAAATATAATATATTGATACACTTCGCATAAGGTATATTAGTGATATACCTAATATGAATTATATTTTGAATAACACGTGTTATTCAAGATATACTTCACTTAAGGTATATTACTAATATACTTGATATTCATCAAATATGGAGTACATCAAGATATATCATTTACGTATATAAATATGAGGGTAAAATTAGAATAAGTAGAAAATCAAAAAATAAGAATCAAATATACTTAAAAGGGGTTGCAATATTTGCAAATAGGACCAAATTTAGCTCCCCATTACAAATGCTCTATGATTTTCATTTAATGTTTTTAGTTAGATTTAGTTTAAAGTTTTTTTATCGAGTAAATCTAATTAAGAGCCATGTGGACCGGTCAACGAGAATCGAACGATGGTAGAGAGCACACCTCAACAACTTTAAAAAAGACAACCAACGATTAGGATGTTTGCACTGTACGCTCAAGTCGTGATACGCTCAAGAGAATCGCCCAGGATGTCACTGCGCCTCATTTTCTGTAGAGCGCATAGAGAGGAAAAATGCCAATGGTCTCACGACCTCTAACACGACATTCTGCTTTGACTCACACTCTCTCAACCTCTCTCCCTCCATGTATAATTGCATTTAGTAATATTATTGATTTATTTGAATAATATTTGATGACTTAATATGTTTTGATCTAGTTCAAAATTATTACCCTTGTCTTTATGAATTATATAATTTTCTTTTTCTAAGTTGCATTTTCTTTGTCTGATATATTTGATTACGTTTATTCTTGCATTTACTATATGTTGACGCGTGGATTATGATCCCTTGTTCCTCCTACGGTCCGCACCAAGCTTGATTATCGGGGACTCGAATACCTGCAAAATCGAACAAGGCTAGACCGGTGTAACTCTTGTCACACGGGCTCCGATGCCTAAGTTAGCAAGGGAAGTAGTTGAATGATTGAATTCAAGGGTAGAATTCGACATGCCTTAGGGTTAGGCTACATGACCTATTTATAGCTGTTTGGCAATGGGCCAAGCCCGGCTCGGCACAGAGCACGGGTCGAGACCGAGCTGTGCTCGGCTAAGTCCGACTGGTCTGGTTCGTCTGGTAGTCTCTTTTCTCGTGCTTGTTGTTTTTCCTTCGTATAACAATTCTCCCTATTTCCAAGGCGAGGGTTCGTCTCCATCTCCTTGGGAGTATGTTGATAGCAGTGTCGAGTGTCGAGGCGCGCGAATATGGAGCTTTCTCAGGGGTAGTCAAATCGTGCACAACTTGCTAGGTGCCATAAAGGAAAGGACCTTCTCGGTTGTCGTGCCCCCACTGTTGTCGTGACTTGCCAAGCCTTGTCAGGCCCGTAACTAGGGAAGTCACGGGCTCTTCGAGTACCGAGCCGAGCATGCCTTGATAGTCACAGGCCAGCAGAGTTATGCTATTATCGCGAGACTCAAGAAGGTCACGGGTTGAACTGTCCCCTCACTATAAGACCCGTGACCCATCTTCGGGTACCAACTGTGCAGGCCTCGGACCGATGGTCAAAGACCATCAAACCAAGAGCTATGCTTCCATATTGAAGGCCATTTGATCCTCTTTCAATCCTTCCAACGTCGACAATCTCTTCAGCCAAGGTACATTTCTCTTTACCTTGCTTTTTTTGTGTTTCCTCACCATCATGGCATCTGATCTTAGCTTCGAGTGGACCTCCTTAGATGACGGGTCGTCGTCGAACCCTTCTTCTGATTCTAGACCCTACCTTCCCTCTTGGGTAGATATCTCCACTCTTACAGGGAGGGACCTACGTCGTTTGCGTTCGAAGCACTGCATCACTGATTTGGTTAGCCTTCGTCTTTCGAATCGGGGAGAAAGTATTGACAGGTCTTTCCTTGGAGAGGTCGTATTTTACGCAGCCATGTTCCAATTCGATGTCTGTTTACCGTTGCCCCTATTTCTTCAAAATTTTTTAGCTTTCAATCAAGTAGCTCATTCTCAAATTGTTACCAACCGGTGGTCTACCCTGATTAGTTGCTGCATTTTGTGGTCCTACCTCGGGGGTGAACAACCTCTAAATGCAGCTAATTTTATGTCGCTCTATTTCCTTAAGCATAGCCCTGAGGATAATTTTCAATTTTAAGTTAGTTCTCGGAACCAGTCTCTTGTTATGGGTCTTTCCTAAGTGAAGCATTGGAAGGACGAGTGGTTCCTTGTCGGTGGTGACTGGCTAGCCCGCGACGAGAGAGGATTGCATTTTCCAGTCCCAACTGAGTGCAGGGAGTTAGATAAGTAGATTCCCGAGCTCTATCGTGACTTTTCGGAGACCTTATTCTGATACTTTTCTTCCT